CTACTGCATATTCACTCTGATTACGCTCACACAGATTGTGCATTTTCAGTGGCTTTAAGGGTGATAGTTATTCTTTTAAAGAAAAAGAGAGAAGATAAAATCATACTTTTCATACGTTTTTAATTATTACGTCACATCCGTTGTTATCAGGCTTTCAAATCGAATTTCTGAAGGGATTATTGACCCCAAAAACAGTTTTCTTCTGTTGTTTGGCTAGGCATTAGCAATTTCTTAGCTGAATGTCCAGATTTCTGATCCAGTGATTGGCCGCAGCGGTAACATTCTGGACATCGCATCGAGTATTTGGAAGAAGTGTGCTGCATGATCTGATTTTCATGGCCACCAGACATGGTGCGGGTCGAACTTTATCTTCCAACGGTGAGAGGAGATGTCTACAACGCATTTGTCCTATTCGAATCCTGTGTCAACTGGTCGATTCTTTAGGAGCCAAATCCATGCAAGGATTTTTCTGGCCGAATTGAAACGATGGGCTTAATTTTGGGAGGATGTAGCTCAACACTGTTCTGTTAGATTCAGCCGCAGTGTCGCTCGTTCCCACGATAGTTTACATGGTTTCATGCGGCGTGTCGGCGACTGTTAGAGGACATCATAATGGGAAGCTGAGGATTTGTTTCAATGGCCTTTAAAGCGCGAGATGCTTGCACGTCCCTACGAAGGTGAGGGTATTCAGTATGTATCAAAATTTGTACCTGATCCTTTTTGGTTGGCTTCAGGGCATTTCTTCATTGAGCTACGTATCTACTTTCCTTCCGTGACAGCGGTAGCTCTAAACAGGGGAGCAGTACTCCGCGACTCCGCGACAGACTACATCAGCACCAGGGCCGTAGTACGCAGCACGCGGTCACCTACTCACCAAGAGGTGTCAGGAAGTTTTAGTAACAAATTTACTCTCGTCATCTTGTGTCAGTCCTCTGCTGTGTCTTTTCCAGAAGTGGTTTCAACTCGGGGGTTCGATCAAGAGTGACTCAGATCTATTGACGTCATTTGTGCTACACGCGTTAACCACAGAATTCAACTGTTATTTTTTCTCTGGACAGGTGGAAGTCAATCGTTGTAGTGTTTGTAAGGTTTTCTTGTTGCTTCCACTTGTGAAAATTCTGTCAGAATAGCTAAATCAGCCGTGAACAGGCTGGTTAGCTTCTGCAATTCGATATGTTCAGTTGCCGGCTCTCTGTCATCCGTGTAAATGAACTTCTTCGATACTGTTCATAGGCATTTGCTTGTACAAATATTAAACAACGATGGAAAAAGTACAGTATCTTGTGGGTGCCCACTGTTAAGGTTCGTTTCCTTGTTTAATTGCCCATCGAAGTGGATTAGTACCGAAGTCGCTAGTTATGGTTGCGATAAGGCAAAGATCTTTTGATACCTAGACACTCTAGAAACTTTGTCCATATGACCATCACGCTGGACCATATAATGGTAGGTCGATCAAAACTATCCCTGTGACTTATTTCCGTTGAAATGCTGCATCAATGAAGACGATAAGCGAAAGTATTTCCTCACAACAGTTGCGATCGGGTCAAAAGCTGGCTTGTTCGACAGGGTGGGCTGTTTTAATCATCTAAGAATGTCGCGTTAACAAAGTTCGTTCCATTAGTTTAACCTTTTGCAGAGTAAGGCGATAGGCCTGTAGATATCTGGCCTCTCCGGAGGTTTTCTTGACGCTGGCTTAGGTGGGCGATGATTTGACATTGTGTGGACTACTGTAAAATTATAGGTCATCCACTGTCGGCGCTTTGGACCAAAGTTCTTAAGAAATTCCTGTAAAATTCCATCTATGCCAGCAGCCTTCATGTTCTTCACGGCCGCTTGCCACGTTTATTACATCTACATTTTACGAGAAGGAAAAATTTGTTTGTTTCAAAGCAAATGCTAAGCTTTAGAAACTGTTCTTTCTGTATTGTTCTGTTGGTGCTTTAGACGCCAGAAGAAGATGAGCAGCAACGGCGTGAGCGGAGACTTTCGTAACTCTGTGCTTTGTAAATTTAATGGTACCGAGGTGATGGGGGATGGGGCAGTGCGTCTGGAGTTTATGAAGCCCAGCGTTTCAACGGTGTTCCTCCAATTTCAGGGAATAAGGGCAGTAAATGTGTGTGATTGAACGCCTGAAAAATATCCTCTGAGGACATTAATGTACATTCTTACTTAGAATTTATTAGCTTTCGAGTAGTTAAGTGACTCAAATGACGCTAGTTTTTTCTTGATTCGTCCACAAGAGAGCGTCCAAATTTTTTTTGATAATGTGTAGTGATTCTCCATGTAAATAAATATCGTGGTGAAAATATTTTGCTATTAATGATGCCTCTTATCGTCGCATCAATGATCGATGTAAAGTTTATTTTGCACATTTGTCATTTTCTGGACTCAGAGATTCAATCTGATAAAGATCGGCTTCGAATAAAGGAAGTGCTGAATTCGAGACCCAAGGAAGGACAAATTTGTCTAGAGCAAGGAAATTACTTTACCTTGCTTCGGGGCAACCATCTCAGAAACGAGTAGCAAGTCGTTGGCCGCGAACAGCGAGCACAGCATGGGATGGTGGTTTGCTTACGTCATAATGAGTGAATTGTACGATCATGGTGTCTGATGCGAGCACCTTTCATGGCTGAACATTGCCTTGGTGAATCAACTAGCTAACTGTTCAGTCTGATCATCAGTACAAGATATAACTCCAAAAGTTTTAAATGTAAATCTCTATAAAGTTCCTCATCAATAAGACTTGATATACGGTGATTGGTATTCGTAAAAAAATTTTTAAAATTTTACTGAGATCATAAGATACATAAAAAGGTTAAGGAATATTACTGCGGAAAATAAAATATGATTGTATGCTTTTTACTGTGTTTATGCACGTGCTGAATTCTGTTATTGACATGGCAATAATGACTATTTTTGCCTGTCAGTAACCTTCTAAACTTAATATGGAAATTCTCTGAGCGGCGTTTAGTATTTGTAGTGTTACATTTTTAGCCGAATTTGAATCTTTCACCTGATAAATTCATTTACTTTGCTGATGCTCAGTGCGCTAATCTTTGGTTGTCCTAATTTTAAGTTAGTAATTTTTTTGAATTTTTTTTCTAAATGGTTGCTTCTTTAGCTTTCGAACGAGGCTTTCGCTCGTCTGCTGACATCTGCTCTCCGCGAATCTAAATGCAAGCTGTTTCTGCGTATCGTCGAAACGGTGGGAGCAGAAACTGCACTACGGATGTATAATCAAACCGTCGATGTCGAAAATGTTGGAGGGCTGAATACTGCCGATGGGAAGAGGCGTCGAACCCCCGGTGGTACTTTTCTGTTTTTGCTGAAAAAGGAACTGTGTTGGACTAGGAAACAGTGGGCGGCAGTATTTGGAGAAGGTCCACCTGCAAAACGAAGAAAGGAAATTTGCGAATCACCTGAAAATAAGGCATCACAAGCAGCTTCGCTTCAAATGTAGTGATTCCTACCTCAGTTTTCTGTCTACCTAAGCATTTTTTTCGACTATTTTTATGTTTCTAGTAAACAGTTTATTTCTTAGAGTTTCAATATAAGATATTTAGGTTCCTGATTTTATTCATTTTGCAATTGATACAAATTCAATCGTTGTTTGCTCCTTTGCGAATTTCTCTAGTCTCGAAATATGGATCATCGTTTTAAAGCGTTTGATCAAGGTTACGTATATGGTTTTAAAATTTTCTACGAACCTTCTTAAAGGCGGGAGTCTAAAATCGCGGAAACAGGTCTAAAGGCTCTTTTTTCTTTTGTTGATTGTTTTGGTTAATCTCCGGTATTTCGGTTTAGTCTGTTATCTTAAATTTGCTTCAATCTTGAAAGGGTTATGTCGGACCAGGATAATGCAAAAGTAGTAGAAGACTTGTTGGCAGTTACCCATTACGTTCTTATGAAGTTCAGATAATTCAAATATCAATTTCGCAGTAATCCAAATAGTTTTGCTCCGTTTAAGCTGAAATCAGCTGGCAAATCAACGACAGTAGCTCATCGTATTTACGGCACATCTCTGATACCTCTTTGGCAGCAACTGACCTATTTATTGCACTGATTACATCTCGGCTGAGCCACTTGTACATATTTAACGATTAGTCAGGGCTATTTATGGCTCTTTGTTTAGCTAAAACCTAATCTGAAAGCAGAAATATTGAATATTTTGTTCTTGCGTTAGCGACGTTACTGGAAACAGCATGAAACGGTTTATTTACGCGCTATATAGAAACGTTGTCAGTCGGATGGTTGACCAGTTCCCACTTTTCGACCCGTGTCTCGCGAGCCACCTTCATGGTAGGAGTGGTAAAGTTTCGAATATTTTTTTGTCAGCAGTGGATAGTACAGCTGAAGCCAGAAAAAAAATTTGGCTTCTGCTGCTTCGGTTATTTGGTTTTTTGGTGCCATGAGCGACTAGGTTCATCTAATCCGCGAAAAGGTCGAATACTTTGTCATGATTGATGCTCTCGCAGGATTGGATGACTAACTTCTGCTTCGACCTTCTCGCGGATTAGATGACTAACTTCTGCCTGACTCTGCTGTTTAACCAAGTTATGAACAGCGAAATCGATTCCTTCAGTGCGCAGGGCTGCATAATCCCGGAGGATATTTCGCTTGACTATACTGGGAAGTGGGCTTCGTTTTTTCCGTGTGCTTTGTTATCCCTTGCCGGTCACATGCTTAAAAGCCAGAAATAGTTTACATATTAGAGTATAACTTCGAAGTATCTCTAGCGGGCATGATGCTTCGTTATGCATGTTTCACTGCATGTGAACAGTTGCCATGTAGCCGTGTCCTGATCAAGTGTTCTCTTAGTCAACTGGGAGAAAGGTGTCGGTGCAGTACGCTAAGAAATCTGGCTTCATAAAGTTCATGCGTCATTGTGGAGTGCTACTGCTTTTCAAGTATAACCTGAGGAGCGGTTTAAATGAGATAAGCAAGCAACGTGCGACGAACACATTTAAGTTTGATCCGTAAGCAAAATAAGAGGGTTTTAGCAGTATGCAAGATACCGAGCTTCAAAAAAAGATTTAGATACGAATAGGCGGGAAAATCTGTTACCAAATATTTTCATATTCTGCAATATCTCAAATTACGCAAACCCCTCTGTGGTCACACTGAACGGTCTGTTCAAAGCAAAGGAATGGTGCACTGCATCGTGTGATGTGTTATTCGATGAGTTATATTTAACATCGTCCTGTATAGACACATTTTGAAGTAGCATAGAATGAGTATTATCTCCGGAACGTTGTTTGTAATCAGCGAGAGGTTGCTCTAACGAACAAATTGTTGCGAAATTTGCCTGGTGCTATGGGCGTTGAGATATCATGGTACCGTAGTTAGCAGAGCTGCGGAGATCGTCTTTTCATCCTTAGTCTCAGGTTAGATTTGCCTAAGGGAGCAACCTATATCTTCATTGTAAATTTACCGGAAGAAATTAACCCTTCGTTGCTTGTGTGCAACTAGCTGAGAAACGATTTTTAAGTCATAGACTTTCGAAAAATAATGTGAACATCCCATTTTCTTTTTGTAATTTAAGAAAGCAACAACTATTCAACTATGTCGCTGCTCTTTTTGGTGGCCTACCCGCTTCGAATCAACGCAACAAAAACGAAGGTGATGCAAAGTGTCGGCATGCCCAAGGCCAATTTACAGATAGACGGCACGGACGTAGAAGAAGTCAACGGCTTTGTCTATTGGGGCTAAGAATTGAATATACGCCATGACCTCCTACCAGAGATTATGCGTCGAAGGGCTGCCGGATGGCGCAAATT